TTCATATTTCCCCCTAAAGTGCAATCCAAGGTCAATTCCAGGCATGTGCAGCCCCCCATGTACCATGCCGGAGGTGTGGTCCAGCGTCCGTGTGGATTTACATAGCAAGCGTACAGTCACATGGTAAGCATAGGTGGGCCTATACGGGGTGGATGTCGTTGATCTGATAGTTAGGAAAAAAAAAAAAAAAAGAAACAGAGGCGTACCAGCCTATTTGAGCTGGGTAGGCATGGTTACAGTCAGTCTGCCCACTACAGGCAATGACAGATCCGGTGGGTGCCTTTGTGTGATTCTTTTTTTTTATATTATTATTTTTTTGTAATCTCTGATTCTGTCAGGAATTATAAAATGACCCTCAGCCAAAAGTCGTTTTTTTTTTTTTNTTTTTTTTTTTTTTTTTTTTTTTTTTTTTTTTTTTTTTTTTTTTTTTGTTTGTTTGTTTGTTGTTGTTGTTGGAAATTTGCATTTTTATTCCCATTGTCCAAGAGATCGGGGCCAGTGACCCTACAATTCAACCCGGAGTTACCCTGGGGCCCTTTCCCAGTTTACGCACTGCTGGAAAACAGGTCCAGTGTCCCCTTTCTCTAGGTATCCAAAGCAACTAGCCAAAAGAGAAGATTCTCATGAAGCTGGGTTAAGATAAAAAAAAGGGCGGGGGGAGGGGGGGGCTTGTAGAAAAACTTATGCTCTGCATGAAGCTCCAGCTGGAGAGAAGCAGCTCCTTTCCGCAGAAATCTGTATACTGTTTCAACAGTCAGAGCGTAGTCTACAAGACGACTACTCAAGACTTATAGCTGTCTTCAAAGAAAATAACCAGTTTCTTTATCTCCAAATTCTCCACGTAGCCTATCTTTCGGCTACTACAAATTTTCCACCTGGCTGTAGCCATTTTGCTATTATCAAACGGCCTTCTGCAGAAATCTCCGCCAGTGCCGTTTTACGTGTCCAAGTACTTAGAAACCATGAAAGTCTCTTTCCCTGTTTGTTGCTTGTAGAGTGCCACAGTCTGCCCCCGTTGGTAGGCGGATTTGATGACGCTCTTTCGTCATCGCTATTTGCTGCTGAGTTGCAAAGGATTCGCCATTGAAGATCTTGCCATTTCTGCTCTCTTCCAAATGCTGCTCGTCACTGCACCTTTGACACACTACAGCCACATACCCCCAGCCATCTGTCAAGCTGCACTCCTCCGTTGTGCCATACAGCAGAATCCAATCATCACTCCACAGCCATTCCTTCCCTATCGACTTTTCCCAATGTAACGTCCACCATTGCCACACCTCGTCCAATAAGGGGCAGTGGATCCATATGTGTGATGTTGTCTCCTAGCCCCAGTCACAACATTTACATTTTGCGCCTAACTGCATTCCTTTAGATTCCAACTAGCCTTAACTGCATTCCTTTCGATTCCAACCGAGCCTAACTGCATTCCTTCAGATTCCAACCAGACTGCGGACGCAGTTACCTGTAAGGTCTGCAGCCAGATTCTCCCTTTTTTTTCTTTTCTTTTCTTTTCTTTTCTTTTCTTTTCTTTTTTTTTTTNTTTTTTTTTTTCGGTGATAGTGGTCAGCCAGATTCTCCCTGCTTGTTGATGAGTAGGAATTTTCTTCAAAGCTGTCCATATCTTAGCAAAATCTGGCTTTGAGACTTTTACCTCCGTCACGTAGTTGAAATGCTGTTTTGCCAACTTCAAAGGTTGCCTCTTCACCATTTGTCTCTGTCCGAAGACTCCAATCTTCGTTCTATCATACCTTATCAGCGCGGTTTGAGCTTTGTCTCCTCTGGACTTCTTGACCCTTTGTCTCTGTTTGAGGACTCAAATCTTGTTACCAGCACGTTTTGAGCTTTGTCTCCTCTGGTCTTCCGCCCATATAGCAAAGGGTCCACCATATAGTTTACTCAACAGGATCCTTTTTTCAAGTTCTTTGCCTTGACTTATGTGCTATTTTAGCCTATTTATCTATTTTTACTTTTTTTATGCTCATGTTAGTTACCGGGGATAACTTGATTCGAACGTTTTTTTTTTTTTGAGATGAAGGTGATGCCTCGAACTCTCCATTTTTTTTTATGCTCATGTTAGCAGCCACTCGTTTGATCTTTGAGAATGCAGCCTCTCTCACCCATATCGTGAATTGACAGTGGAAACCAACAAGACGGGAAAGGCGCCGGACGTCAACACCAGGGGCTCTCCCAAAAATGGAGAGGTTTTTTTTTTTTTTTTTTTTTTTTTACAAGAAAAAAGGATCCGTTCATTACCAGAAATGGAGAGTTCGTGTGTGCAGGTCCAGCTTCAGATTCTCGCCGTGAGTTTGTCCAGCAGAAGGGCGTCTTGAGTCTCTGCACAGTTTGATAACGAAACTACAACTCCCAAGTATCTGCTGTCGGGATCTGGCGCAAGCAAGCCCCACTCCACACACAATATGAAGGGGTGACTTGTGTCCCAATAGATTGATTGACGCTTCCGACAGATCGCAATAGACATCTAATACATTTCTAAGATTAGTCAGTGAATCTACTGAGTTCTCGCAGGCTATTTTGAGGCCGTCTGCTATGGCTCCTCCCTTCCAGTGGATTTTTGCCATGCGATCATCATATCCAAAGATCCCTCTTAGTTTCAGCCATTCAATCCATTCTGCCTGCGTTTTTGCCTCCAATTGCTCCAGCTGAATTTTTTTTTAATTTTTTTTAGGCACCAGATTTTTCATTTCTCTGACCAAAAACACTCTTGATAATGGATCCCCTCCCATCTTAGATTCTGCTTCTTCAATTTCAATCTGTATATGGGACGCTGGACCCGTTTTCCAGCAGGTGATGCTCCCCACCAATAGATGGAGCCTCTCCCCAGGTGCTAGTGGTGTCTGCTCTTATCAGCATCACTAACACTGGTGGGGGTGATTTCTTACCACAAAAACAAAAACAAAAAAAAAAAAAAACAAAAAAAAAAAGATTCTGCTTCTTCAATTTCCCTGAGGAGTTTCTTTTCCGAGCAGTTACGATTTGCCGCCGCTTTCATTCGATGGGGAGAACAGCATCAGTCCAGATCTCACTCTCACAATTCCCAGGTCCACTTTGTAGCATTCCTGTTCTCTGTCCTCAAATTGGGGTTTGGCCTTTGGCCATGATTCCATCTGATCCACCACCCAGTTGAGGATCTCTTTCGTCCTTTAAATTGTTCACATCGAGACGAACGGACGTTTTTTTTTTTTTTTTTTTTTTTTTTTTTGGTCTATGTTTTTCAATGATTTCCTCTGATATGATATCCATTACTATCGGGTAGTGGTCAGACAGTGAAGACGAAAGTCTTTTGTATTCCAATTCTACACAACATTTTTTCCCCGGATTATTTTCTTTTTATTTTTTTTGGCTGAGGCTGCCCGGGGTTCATGCCCGGCCAGGCACCCAGGCGTGTACCTGGGGAGAAGTTGGGTGCCCGGGCGCCCAGAGAAACAGCCTAGAGAATTTTTTGACTTTCTTTTTTATTTTCTTAATTTGGGGACCCTACTGAAATTTTGCTGCCAATTTTTACTGAATATAAGCCCCCGGACGTTATAAACGAATATAACGACCGCCAGGCGCTATATTAGTATATTGTATACAACGCCTGGGCATTATTTTTCACAAAAGACAGAAATATTGGCGGTGTATCTTTCCATGTTCTAGTGGAAGATTCACTCTCGTTTTGCACATTTCAAGAGTAGTGCAGCGAGGCCCATACTACTACCGCCTTCACCCAAAAAGAACGCCCGATAATTATTGCCGATTCTGGACTGGAAGTTCCACCAAATGCAGCTATAATGACCGGGCGTTCTATTTGGGTGAAGATGGTAGGCTCCCATTCCTTTCAGTAGAGGAGAAGCATACATCCCATGCAGCAACACACACACACACACACACACACACACACACATGAACTCTTCTTATATTACACATCCCCTGGCCTCAGGATAATGAATGGAACCAACCCAGGGCATTGACGAGACTGTGCACCGTGGGAATGAGGTAAAAATAAAACAATGAAAAAGTCTGAAAAGAAAAAAAAAGGAAAAAAAAAAGGGGGTACGCACCTGTAGTTTGTGAAGGCAAGAAGCAGGCACACTCACACAGGAACAAATTCCAAATGAATCAGACCACCATTACAGGCAGGTCAGTCCAAAAGCTCCGGCAATGGCTTTCAGGACATTGACAGGGAAGACAGGATTTCGTTAAGTACTATTTCAAGGGAAAAGGAAGCTCTGCACAAGGAGAGACATGTCTTTGCACCTTGCCCTGTAACTACTAACTGCAACGTAGATGTCTAGTAGCCAGGCAATTGACCGGGGCGGTGACCGGTCACTTGCCCCGGTCACTTGCCTGGCGTCTTCCTTCCTTGGGAAGACGCCAGGCAAGTGACCGGAGCGGATCAACCAAACCAGACAGGGAAGACCATATAATGCCAAGTAGCCAGAAGAAAAAGGAGAGCAACACTAAGTGCGTGCACATGCATTCACACAGCAGAGGGGAGTGGGGGGAGAGTGAGAGGGAGAGAGAGAACAGACAGGCCGGGTGTGTGTGACAGATAGACAGACTGACTGTGTGTGTGTGTGTGTGTGTGTGTGTGTGTGTGTGTGTGTGTGTGAGAGAGAGAGAGAGAGAGAGAGAGAGAGAGAGAGAGAGAGAGAG